TCTCTCTTCAGCAACATGTTTTCTTCTTTAAGTACCCTAATCTCTTCACGCAGCCTATCATACGAAGGCAATAGGCTAGGAGGTATGGAAGTTAATGGCTCAGTTCTTTCATGGCTTCCACCACCTGGCCGGGACACCGTTGCCAGTTTGGTGGTCTCATCAATCGCCGGCTTCTTCAGAGCTTCGTTCTCTCTCTTCAGCAACATGTTTTCTTCTTTAAGTACCCTAATCTCTTCACGCAGCCTATCATACGAAGGCAATAGGCTAGGAGGTATGGAAGTTAATGGCTCAGTTCTTGCTATCCTGTATGTGAGAAGGAAGCACATGCATATAGTGTTTTTGTCAGACCATATAGGAAAAAGCAAGGATTGTGTTTTTGCATGTATGAATAGCAATGTAGGGATACCAAACTGGAAAAAGCAAGGATTGTGTTTTTGCAAGTATGAGTAGCTATTAATGTTCTTATATAAAAACAATGGGATGAAAGGCTTACCACTCATGAATGACATCTGAGATGTGCTTCGCAACCATCTTTCCGGCGGTAAGATGTGGTAGGTGGCCCTTGGTCTTGACCTCTACTAGTGTGATTCTAGCATTCTTCATCTGCTGCATCATATAGTTTTGAGCAAATGTTGATGCAACAGTATTGGCACTTGTGCTAATGATGGTGCATGCAGATGTCACAAGTGGCAGCATGGGGCACAGGTCTGTGTTGAATACCATCGTCGCCATTGATTTAACAACATCTCCGGTCGTCCTCGACAACATGTGTTTAGTTTCAGCTTGGCGCTGTCTTTGGTGTTCCCTGGAAGTGCAATCTCAATATATGTTTCCACAAATTTCTTGTAATCCACTTCCATCAATTTAAGCCTCTCATCTGCCCTTTCCCTTGAATACCCTATCATGTTATCAGGGAATTTGTCTAGAGCGCTGCATCGTGTGCATAAAAATAGGATCAGCACGCAGTATTCACAATGGAATGCTATTTATATGGCCAGGAACAAAATGTGCATTGGTTACCTACCAGGGGGCAGTGCCGATAAGGACGAGTTGGCTAAACAGGTCTCTGTGCCGAATGGAAGCTTGTAGGCCTACCAGTCCAGAAGTTGAATGGCCAACAAAAATGCATGTATGGATACTGTAGTGTTGGAGGATAGATACAATGTCCTCTACATATCCATCGATTGTTTGGTATCTATCTGAATATTTGTGGTAATAATCCTTACCAACTTTTCCCGAAAAGGCAAGATCATACGTAAGAATACCACTATGAATTTCTGAATCTCTCAAGTTAGAAATCACCTTGTGCCAAACAGACTTGTCACAACCAAAGCCATGTGAGAGGACTAACAAGGGCTGAGCCCCTGGGGTATACTTCACGTTCAATGCTTTTATGAGTTCGTGCCCCTCCAGTCTTTGCATGCTTCTCCGATCCTGAGAAATGGGAGTAAGTCTATGAGTCATCATACTGAATTAGTTACTTAATACATAGAAAAGTAGTTATACTGTAATTCTAGTTCCAACAATAATAGAAGAAACAATATGATACAAGAGAGAACTAGTGATTAGGAGCAGTGTATATTGTATAATACTTACTATGGCGGGAGTGAAATCGTCTCCTCGCACGCCACTTCCATGGAATGATGATGATGATGGTTGAGACATCGTGGAATCTGAAGCATGAGAAAGTATGTGTTAAAGATCATATGGGTTAATCTATACTTGCAAAATCATATGGGTTAATTAATATGTGGTACTTCTGGTCTAAGATCTGCATAAATTGGTCATGACAGCTGATAAATTTAGTTTCAAGGAGAAGCAGTCACCCGGATTTGAAGAAAGTATTAGGGTAAATACAGTGACATATCACATATGTGGAAAATTGTATTTACCGCATTAGGGTAATCATTATAAAATATATTTCTTATCATATAAATTACATGAAGGAAACAATATCAGCATACACACTAAATCTTGAGGAACCAAAAATTAAGAGGTGGTTAGTAGGCATTGGTTAGAGGATTTCATTGTTACAAGGGTGCATTGCACACATTTTTTGACGGGCCAAGGCGGAGAAGCCTCATGGAGCAATTTGTTTTTATGAAAAGTCCACAAGAACCACACATGCATGCAAGATTTCCTGCTATCCTAGCCTTCCATCGCATTATTTGTCCTATCGATATGATAATGCTTGCACATATGTGATAATTGATTACACTAGTAGCTAACTCATAGCCTCAAAGGTGATTGGACAAGCAACGTACAAGTCTATGGACAAAGCCACAAAATACTAGCTTCCTCATGCTGTGATATTCATGCCCAATCAAATCAATCACGTTCAGTTACGTTCATTCACACCATGTCTCTCTAGCTTTTTCTTTACTTTTCTTTTTGTGTGCGTAGGGTCTTTCATATCCCGTCTTGCCTGTCAGTTCAAGTTCCCTGGACGTACATATACTTTTAGTAAGCATCTGTTTTATCAGCTTAACTTTAACTATTAACCATCGCAACTCATCACGGGCTGAAGAGCACAACAGCAGTGTAGCCAGCTTAATCAAGCATTTCAGTCAAGTAGTCAGCCTAATCAATCAACTGGTCAACAATCTGTGGTTCTAACTAGAGTGTAAGCTAGTACGAAATCAGTGTGGTTTTAACAGATCCTAGCATGCATGCTAATTAATCAACCGTACCAAACTAAACTGAAGTTATTGATGATCGATTCAAACCACAATAGAATAGACTACCTTAGCTGACATGTATAGTTGGTTAAAAAGACGAAATTTAATACTACTAGGCAAGACCTTCAGTTTTGATAGAAACACAAGACCTTCAGTTGTGATATCACACAAGATCCACAGATGTCCCTGGACCCTGGGTCTTACCAAAACAGCTAAAGAAGGACAAGAACAGAACAACTTATAAGCTGGATCACAGACCACGGTGCGTTGGACAACCGGTGGCGGTGGTCGCATGTGTAGGTGGAGTGTAAGCTAGTATGAAATCGAAAAATGATCTGCCAAGAGCAGACCCTAGCATGCTAATTCATCAACGGTACCAAACTAAACAAAAGCTATGTAAAATCGACTCAAACTACAATATAATAGACTACCTTTAGCTAACATGCATGAACTTAGTTACAGAAAACCGAAATTTAATACTACTAGGCAAGGTCTTCAACACACAAGACCATAGATGTCCCTGGACCCTGGGTGTTACCAAAACAGATAAAGAAGGACAACAACAACAACAACAACTGATGAACGGGAACCCTCCTAGCTAGGAACACGACCACGGCGTGTTGGACAGCCGGCGACGGTGGTCGTATGCATGTGTAGATAGCAGGTACCCCGATTAACCCTCGGATTTGAGTGAAGGGAAACCAAATAGTGCCGAGGGGAGTCTATAATCTATAGTGAGAAGGAATAGCTCTATACCTGTCTAGACAAGAATAACCGAGTCTCGAAGGGGTTGCCGGCTCGGTTGCCGGAGCCGGGGAAGAAGCTCCGAATTCGGGGTTGTGGTCGCTGGATCAGTTCAGTTCGCCTTGCTCCTGGCCCGAGATGAGGTTCGCCTTGCTCGCGGCGGCCTTCGACGGCAGTGACGGTTTGGGCGTTAGTGGTGTTCGTGTGGGCAGGAGGGAGAAGGGAGTAATGCTACACGTACAAACGAGTTACAAGGTTTTATAAAAAGGGTTAATTTGATTGCGTGTAACTCTTTGTACTTAATAGAGCTGTCCTATGAAGAACAAGGGCCCCATGAAGAGTTGTATGGCAACTGGCAAGGGCATGCCTGGCATCATGGAAGAGCAGAACGACGTAGTAGTACCGCCAAGACCTGTTTTCGAACTGGTATTGCTATCTTCTTTTTCTTAGAAAATGATAAATCACAAGTTATCTAGAGATTGAAAGGATTGGTATGTTTTTTCAAAGTTTATGTAATAATAATAATTATATTCACTTCGAAAATCAAAATGTTTGAAGTGTTCATGCAGAACATATACTAAATGCTTTGATATCACTCCCAAACGTACCAACTGATTGTGGAGGGGCAAAGCTCACCCAGGTAATGTACTTGTTAGATTGGATTTATTATACACTAGTTGTCATATAGTAGAACTGTTTGGTGGAGATAAAATCAACAGCGATTTGCCATGATTTAAGGAGACTAACTGGAAGGCAAATGATAAGCTTGAGTAGCTTCAGAAAGAACCATGACAAGAGACAATTTTTTTTATTTTTACCATCGATAAATGGTAGAGGAATAAAATATAGATGAGCTTGCTTCTTTACATGAAAGTAGGTTATGCATACCGCATAAAAAGTTAAAGGTGTACTGCAATCAATAATCTATGCCAAAGTAAATATAAAAGCTAAACAACTACCCGGTGAAGTTAGTTAGAAATAATAAAGAGGTAAATGACTATCTAAACTCAAGATGGACCTCATGGTGAAGTCAGTTACAAGCAAAGATGTGAGGTAAATGATTCATTTCGCTGAAACTTCCACCGCCTTATCAGCTCAGGTGTCGTTGTCCTCCACACTTTTCTCTCCTTCCCCTGAAACGCCATACCTTGTTAACCGCATCATGCACGTTCATGTACTGGTCAAGTGCAGTCATCTCCTTCTGTTTTTAGAGAGGAGGCCATTACAGGCCCTGCTATTTTGTTGAAGCAAAGGTTCAACGCTAACACCAGTAACACCAATAGCTCCGAAGCCAGAAAAACAGAACCAGCGGCACAGGCAGAACGCGCCACCAAAGAGCAGAAACACAGCAACAACTTCTGAATGAACGTTAAGTTATGATGATTTAGATCCATAGCTCTCGAGTTAGAAAAGTACATAATTCAAAGAAAAAGAGCAGAAACATGCACAACAAGCACACCAAGGCGCTAACAGCCAGACCACGCCCACGCGCACACAGCCAGAGCACACACACATGCGCAAACAGGACACAAATCATACTAGGAGGAAGAACCATCAAGTTCCAATGCGCTTATTTGGTCAAGAACCTCCGCTGCCTGGTGATGATTCATGGCTTCCACCACCTGGCCGGGACACCGTTGCCAGTTTGGTGGTCTCATCAATCGCTGGCTTCTTCAGAGCTTCGTTCTCTCTCTTCAGCAACATGTTTTCTTCTTTAAGTACCCTAATCTCTTCACGCAGCCTATCATACGAAGGCAATAGGCTAGGAGGTATGGAAGTTAATGGCTCAGTTCTTGCTATCCTGTATGTGAGAAGGAAGCACATGCATATAGTGTTTTTGTCAGACCATATAGGAAAAAGCAAGGATTGTGTTTTTGCATGTATGAATAGCAATGTAGGGATACCAAACTGGAAAAAGCAAGGATTGTGTTTTTGCAAGTATGAGTAGCTATTAATGTTCTTATATAAAAACAATGGGATGAAAGGCTTACCACTCATGAATGACATCTGAGATGTGCTTCGCAACCATCTTTCCGGCGGTAAGATGTGGTAGGTGGCCCTTGGTCTTGACCTCTACTAGTGTGATTCTAGCATTCTTCATCTGCTGCATCATATAGTTTTGAGCAAATGTTGATGCAACAGTATTGGCACTTGTGCTAATGATGGTGCATGCAGATGTCACAAGTGGCAGCATGGGGCACAGGTCTGTGTTGAATACCATCGTCGCCATTGATTTAACAACATCTCCGGTCGTCCTCGACAACATGTGTTTAGTTTCAGCTTGGCGCTGTCTTTGGTGTTCCCTGGAAGTGCAATCTCAATATATGTTTCCACAAATTTCTTGTAATCCACTTCCATCAATTTAAGCCTCTCATCTGCCCTTTCCCTTGAATACCCTATCATGTTATCAGGGAATTTGTCTAGAGCGCTGCATCGTGTGCATAAAAATAGGATCAGCACGCAGTATTCACAATGGAATGCTATTTATATGGCCAGGAACAAAATGTGCATTGGTTACCTACCAGGGGGCAGTGCCGATAAGGACGAGTTGGCTAAACAGGTCTCTGTGCCGAATGGAAGCTTGTAGGCCTACCAGTCCAGAAGTTGAATGGCCAACAAAAATGCATGTATGGATACTGTAGTGTTGGAGGATAGATACAATGTCCTCTACATATCCATCGATTGTTTGGTATCTATCTGAATATTTGTGGTAATAATCCTTACCAACTTTTCCCGAAAAGGCAAGATCATACGTAAGAATACCACTATGAATTTCTGAATCTCTCAAGTTAGAAATCACCTTGTGCCAAACAGACTTGTCACAACCAAAGCCATGTGAGAGGACTAACAAGGGCTGAGCCCCTGGGGTATACTTCACGTTCAATGCTTTTATGAGTTCGTGCCCCTCCAGTCTTTGCATGCTTCTCCGATCCTGAGAAATGGGAGTAAGTCTATGAGTCATCATACTGAATTAGTTACTTAATACATAGAAAAGTAGTTATACTGTAATTCTAGTTCCAACAATAATAGAAGAAACAATATGATACAAGAGAGAACTAGTGATTAGGAGCAGTGTATATTGTATAATACTTACTATGGCGGGAGTGAAATCGTCTCCTCGCACGTCACTTCCATGGAATGATGATGATGATGGTTGAGACATCGTGGAATCTGAAGCATGAGAAAGTATGTGTTAAAGATCATATGGGTTAATCTATACTTGCAAAATCATATGGGTTAATTAATATGTGGTACTTCTGGTCTAAGATCTGCATAAATTGGTCATGACAGCTGATAAATTTAGTTTCAAGGAGAAGCAGTCACCCGGATTTGAAGAAAGTATTAGGGTAAATACAGTGACATATCACATATGTGGAAAATTGTATTTACCGCATTAGGGTAATCATTATAAAATATATTTCTTATCATATAAATTACATGAAGGAAACAATATCAGCATACACACTAAATCTTGAGGAACCAAAAATTAAGAGGTGGTTAGTAGGCATTGGTTAGAGGATTTCATTGTTACAAGGGTGCATTGCACACATTTTTTGACGGGCCAAGGCGGAGAAGCCTCATGGAGCAATTTGTTTTTATGAAAAGTCCACAAGAACCACACATGCATGCAAGATTTCCTGCTATCCTAGCCTTCCATCGCATTATTTGTCCTATCGATATGATAATGCTTGCACATATGTGATAATTGATTACACTAGTAGCTAACTCATAGCCTCAAAGGTGATTGGACAAGCAACGTACAAGTCTATGGACAAAGCCACAAAATACTAGCTTCCTCATGCTGTGATATTCATGCCCAATCAAATCAATCACGTTCAGTTACGTTCATTCACACCATGTCTCTCTAGCTTTTTCTTTACTTTTCTTTTTGTGTGCGTAGGGTCTTTCATATCCCGTCTTGCCTGTCAGTTCAAGTTCCCTGGACGTACATATACTTTTAGTAAGCATCTGTTTTATCAGCTTAACTTTAACTATTAACCATCGCAACTCATCACGGGCTGAAGAGCACAACAGCAGTGTAGCCAGCTTAATCAAGCATTTCAGTCAAGTAGTCAGCCTAATCAATCAACTGGTCAACAATCTGTGGTTCTAACTAGAGTGTAAGCTAGTACGAAATCAGTGTGGTTTTAACAGATCCTAGCATGCATGCTAATTAATCAACCGTACCAAACTAAACTGAAGTTATTGATGATCGATTCAAACCACAATAGAATAGACTACCTTAGCTGACATGTATAGTTGGTTAAAAAGACGAAATTTAATACTACTAGGCAAGACCTTCAGTTTTGATAGAAACACAAGACCTTCAGTTGTGATATCACACAAGATCCACAGATGTCCCTGGACCCTGGGTCTTACCAAAACAGCTAAAGAAGGACAAGAACAGAACAACTTATAAGCTGGATCACAGACCACGGTGCGTTGGACAACCGGTGGCGGTGGTCGCATGTGTAGGTGGAGTGTAAGCTAGTATGAAATCGAAAAATGATCTGCCAAGAGCAGACCCTAGCATGCTAATTCATCAACGGTACCAAACTAAACAAAAGCTATGTAAAATCGACTCAAACTACAATATAATAGACTACCTTTAGCTAACATGCATGAACTTAGTTACAGAAAACCGAAATTTAATACTACTAGGCAAGGTCTTCAACACACAAGACCATAGATGTCCCTGGACCCTGGGTGTTACCAAAACAGATAAAGAAGGACAACAACAACAACAACAACTGATGAACGGGAACCCT